TTCTTAAAAAGTACTTTAAACTGTATAAATACAATTGAAAGCGATTGACCAATCAGAAGAAAGTTATCCTATATAGGGTACCCCAAAAATTGGGTTAATTCTGGTCGAATTTGCAGATCATTTGTCCATTAGTTTTAAAACTCATTGCCAATGAAAAAAAAATCAGCACATATGTTGGCTATTAAATTCATGCCACGTTTAGGCTTAGCATTAAATCCCTATAACGAAAATGTTATTTAATGTTTGTTTCTGAAATTGTCTAATCCAATTCTTGCATTGTTATCCTCGTGAGTATAGATGCTGGTGAAACTGGTAAAATTCTTGGTGAATGGTGGTGAAACTGGTAAAACTGGTGGAAACTGGTGAGAAATTGGTGAAACTGGTGAAATTTAATATAACTGCCAATTAAATTTATAGTTACTAGTTTCACCAGCATCTATACTCGTGAGCAACCACATTGCCTATTTTATCCAAAAAGGATATCGATATTGTTTTTTAAAACATTTTTGTATGTATCTTGTATATCTTGTACTGGTACTGTGCTGTTAGACTTCATGTTGTATTTATAGATAAAAAAATGGCTTTGTATTTTTAATTGGTGGATTTCCTCTTTGAATTTTTTTCAAAAGCTATCAGAAATATGTTCTTTATTTTGATTATTGATTGGCTGAGCGGTGTTCACACATACGTACGTACGTTCTCTGCGCATGATCGTTCACTGTGTGATAATATTTCGATAATCTTACTGTTTATAACATTCGTATACAGTCAATCCCCTCTATAGTCACCTCCTCCATATAGTCGCAAAATTAATATAAGTAATTACAAATTTAATTTTACTATTTATAACTATATTGAAAATATCTCTATATTACTCACACTTCTTTATAATCACTGTTTGCTGTATCCCAAAAGGTGTGACTTTAGAGAGGTTTGACTGTAAATCAAATTGAAGAATAAAATGGCAATTCTTAAATATGAAAAAATTTTGTTGTATATTATTTTTCCGGATTTTATTTGCTACCACTGTAGTATTATGCATTATTTATGTATTATCGATGGCCTAGCACAATCTACAGCAAAACTGCTCCATCGGATTTAATATGAACGTTATGATTTTAGTGTTAACTTCATAAGAAATTTGAACTTTTTTGTTTAAAACGGTTAACAATATGAAGGGATTGTGTAACTGTGTTAATGTGATAATAAATGATGATGACACTGTGATGGATGATGCGAGCGACCGGTTATGAGCTGATAACTGATAATAACCGACCGATGACCGATTGAACCTATCCCTAGTCGGAACGAAAAATTAACTTTACGTGGCCTTAGAGATATCCATTTAACGAATTAAGTAAATTTTTCAACAACAACGATCATCATTTCAAATTTAATTTGAAAATGAATATGTTATCTATAATTGGATTTCGGCACCTTTTTTAATTCTGAAACTAAACATATTTCAACCACTTGCATATTTCATTAAAAATAAATCTATAAATGCTAATTTTACATATTTAACCAAATAACAACAAAAATAATGACATATTTAAACTAACATGCATAAGCATAACTACTAAGACACATATATTAGCATAATTCAACACCTGCATACGCATTTCAAGCAGGCCAGCCTAAGCAATCCACACGATCATATACCGAATAACATGCACAACCAAGAGCTTTATAACTATGATCATCTATCTTATAGAAAATAGAAGGAAAAACAACAAGTGTTGGAATGTCAATATCTTCAGGCATTGTAATTTCCACTATTATTTCATAGTTTTTTCCAGCTGGAATTGGACAAAAAGTGTTATTTCCAATACAAAGTTTCTGAGAATATTTATATGAAGCAGGTGCACACCAGAATACAATATCAAATTTGTATTCTGTAGTAAGGTCGTCCCTTAATACACTAGTAAAGTAAAACGTAATATTCTTTCCAGCAATAGGGGTTTGTGGAGTAGTCGTCATATTTAATATTGGTTCAGAATTCGGGAATGGATAAACGTAATCTGGGCCATAATCTGTGGTATAGCAGTTTACCGGCTCTTGCGTATTAACCATCGAAAACACATTTAATAGAATAAATAGACATGTAAAATATTGAATCATGATGTTTTGAAGTAATTTAAGAAATATCAAATAAAAAAGTCTTCGAAATTTAAATATTCTCTGTGATTTACATATTAATAACAGCACATGTTAGTGATGCTTAATAAGGATTAAAGCTATTGCATAACTTAACAAAATTTAGGTCTATTTATTGATTAAAATTAGATGTAGTTGTTTCATTTTTAAGTTTTTAAAACACATTTTTTCTAAAGACGATTGCTATTTGTACACCATGTGTATATACACACATATATTGATATTTTAAAATCTTGATTATATAATAGCTTTTGGGATCTAACAAAAAATATTCCTTGCAAATTTTAGTATAAACTATAACCTCCTCTAACCCTAAAGCTACTCTCACCCTAACCTTAAGCTATACTAATTTTTCGTTTATAATTTATATATTAAACAACTTCGTAAATCAATAAATTAGTTTGTGTGTATATACACCTGGTGAAATTATTAAGAAATTTTCTTTTCTAAATTTAGACTAAAATCCGTCCCAACCGGAGATCAATTTATCGGCCCATTTTTCAAATTGGGGAAATATACGGACACAGCATGCACGTGATTTCTCGCACAGCAAATCATCGACGTTGTTACGCAAAGAAAGTTTCACACTTAAACTTTCTTTGTGTAACCAATATACTATTAGAAGCTTCGCTTATACTCTT